GTTTGAGGTTGACGGTGACGAGTTGGATGATGGACATGGGAAACTTTGTCACCCGGCGGTGAACCATGTGATGAATCTTTCATAGAGAGGAAACACTGATGCCCGCCTGAATGTTATTTTACCCGTGCGTCAAACAAGATCAAAGATCTGTGTCGCATCGAGGATATATAGAAGACGGATTGGGACATTTGTTCGGTGTGGCAGATCCTTCTCACTCTCACAATTTTTTTGTTTAATTATTCTATCATGATCTATCATTGAAAGCACGTTTCAAGGAAGGCCCACAGCCGTGCCCATTTGCGTCCGTGTCGCAGATGAAAATGAAACGCAAAGAGAGGCGACACACTGAGGCCACTACCGCGTTTGCGATCCCAAAGCCTCGGTGGGCTTTCCAGAGGCGGGTGCGGAGCCGGGTGGTTCTGCAGAGCGAAGCTCGTTCTGCTTCTATCGAGAATTGTATCCATTTGTTGTTCAATTCCATCTTTCAAGTGTTTCTTAGTGCTTGGATCGCTCTTAGGTTGGAGGCCATTGCTATTAAGTTTCCCAAAAAATTCAGGAAACCAATCATTAGTGCTTTCTTGCTGTTTCTCGTGTTTAGAGACATCCAGAGGTCGATGACACACACATTGGATTTGACAGCGGATTCCTGTTGTGACTCTTCAAGGATCACATGGTGGAAGCCGAACTGTACGCACGAAGGGAATCTAAGTATGGCAGGTTCATAACACTAATCTGTGTGTCTGTGGGGATCAGAAGTGATGTTTTGAAGGTTTACCGTTTGCCCCATGCAAGTTATCATGGATGGATGGGTGATTTAGTGGAAAGAAGACGGGTATAGTATAGACCTTCAAGAGAGATGTTCAACAAGCACTTTGACACTTCAGAGAACTCAGATTCTTACTCACAGGGTCCAGATAGCCTCGTTGTGGCTGGAAGTTGATGGTTTTCCTTCGCTATTTGCAGTTGGCCATTCTAACCCGAGAAATCTTCCAACCAGGCGTTCCCGCAGTTCTTAGAAGCCCCACAAAGGTGATGATGTCGCACTGCATGGCATGATGTGCCCGTCATGCCACAACCAAAGGAGGATGTCTTGAGGAATGCAACATACAGTAGGGACACGGCTTGTGTCTTGGGCATCCAGCTGTTTCCAGGCCAAACACATCGCACCGCACCGCGTTCGTCGGATCCAGAGGTTTTTGCTCCCCCTTCAATTGCCTGCAGTCGGATCGGTTGGTTCACATGTCGATTTGTTGCCGACCTTGTTGACAAGTATCAAGGGCATCGCTACTAGTCGGAAGGGCATTACTCCACTGGTCGGGATACTGCTATTGCCCCATCTACGTGCTTCACCTTTCATGTGCTTCACCTGGCACATCACTCTCTGTTGGGCGCTTGCGCCTCGTGTGTGGATATTCCTGCTGGAACCATCCTGCACCCAGCAGCAACGCGGACGGCCGTCGATGTGGAGGGCAGACGACGAAGGGCCCTAGATAATTGCCACGAGGGGCGCTATGGGAGAGGTACCCTCAAAAGCCCATGGTTTTGGCATCACACGATGGGGAATCTTGGGAGCCTACACGCCAAACCAGTTGCCATTGCTGTCCTGTACCACTTGAGCCTGCCAGATTTGGTGCCGACGCATGGACAATGGGCCTCCACAAGAGTTGCGCGTCGCATACTTTTCCGACCCAAGTGTGTTAAACTTTAGGGTCTGCAGAATGAGATGCTACGTTGACGTTCCCTGGACGACTGGAGTCACCATCCCGCTTCCCCAGTCGTTCCTACATTGCAGTTCGTTTTGGAAACGAGTCACCGTCCTGATGAGCCTTGGGAGGCCAACACATCCGGACAGGACTTAAACCCTCGGTTTGTGGGCTCGCCCTATTCCAATACACACCCCAAACTGCCATCCCTCAGTGTCGGCCAGGTGAACTTGGGCCTTTTGCCAGGAGCACAGGTGTGCGCGGAGAAGAGTCAAAAGCCGGACCGTGTTTCTTTTCGACCGGCCGCGTTTTGGCAGCAGCCGGTGGAGCGTGTGTAAGCCTTCCTCGCGGGATGCGGGTGCCAATGGGCATTTTTTCCGCGTTGCGCTTTTGAGTCTTTTGTTCATATATATATATAGTTAGTTAGTTAGTTAGTTAGTTCGTTCGTTCGTTCGTTCGTTAGTTAGCTTGCTTGCTTGCTTGCTTGCTTGTTTGTTTGTTTGTTTGTGAACGCTTTTGGATGTCCACAACGGCCCCGTACAGACCAACATGTGCGATAAACGTACTATATATGCCACGTGTCTGTACTACCTTCTTGTTATGTTTTTAAACTGAATGACGTCCAAACCTTGCTTGTTGGTGAGAGAGAGAGAGAGAGCTAGCTAATGTCTCACATATTTGATGTGCATATTGTGATGGCTCGCATGCCTCATTTTGGTTGACTTGGACTAGACCGTGTTTATCCTTATTTAACAGTTTTCACGAAGGATGTGTGACTGCTTTGTATACGGAAACAATCATCCAAAGAGAACCGTCAAGTTGGGGCAGCCTTCGACCGCAGGGCACTCAACGATTGCCTCGTGTGGCACCTTTGCCAACTGCCATGCAAATGCCACTTGGCAGGATGCAGGTCGTGTGTCGTTAAATCAGCGATAGGTCCAGTTTAATACGTGTTGAGTCTGACTGTCTTTGGCACACCCTGGACCGAAGACAGCTCAAATCAAAAAAAGACGCTGTTCCTTTGAACCTCCAGGCCAAAGCAAAGCTAATGTGAATCATATTTTTTTGTGCAACCTGTTGGAAGCAGATGCATGCTGATGCGTGATGACAGATGGTGACTGAAACAGAGCATAGGCCACTGGCGGGTGGCATTTGGAAGAGCTGAGTGGGCACATGATCCTCCAAATATTCATGGAAAACATTGAATTCCCAGGCCTAGGCTTGATGTTCCACAATGCCAAAGCAGGATCGAATGTAACGGTGTATGTAGTTCGTGAGTAACAAGCAGAGTACTTGAAGCACATTTAGCACAATTAAACACTATGAGTTATTGCACGTTTGCAACTCCCAATGTACCTTGCGACATGGCATCAACTAGATACGTTTCTTCACCCTCTGTAGCACGGGGCGTCAGTGTGGCAATTTTACCGATCGGACCAATGATATTGGAACTGGATCACTTGATTCGAACCATCTCCGCGACGAAGCATCACATCATTCTTTGGTTTCCACCGGCCCGACACATGTTTATTGCCATTCCTGGCTGGGGGAGATGGCGTGAAGGAGAGGACTCTGGAACTGGTCCGTTGCAATCCTTGCCAGCCGTCCGAAGCAAGAATGTTCACTGCAAAAAAGAATTATCTTTTTTGGGCTTTCACGCGAGAATGGGCAAGACAGGAATACCCCTTTCTAGCTGAAGGATTCTTTCAACCTTTGCTTGGTCTGTGACACTGTGATCAATTTATGTTGGGTTTGCAGGAAGCTGACGATCACTTTGGCACTTTGGGTTTATTCTGTGTTTTGACCAAAGGGCCCTCTAGTTTGGAGCTCGCCGTTCTGGTACTGGCCACCCGGAAACAGTCTGGGGTCGATCGTCGAACTCCCCGGATTCGCTCTGTAAGGATCTTGCAGGGAAAGCCGCTGCTTGGAAGCAGTCTCTGCGAAATGATTTTCGATACCTGAAAAGTGGAAAGAAGATTAGGTCATACCCCCACCTGCGGAGCAACAGCGCAAAGCAACCATGTTGAGTCTGTTAAGAGGCCGTTTAGTAGCTAGAAGCTACTAGGAGCAAAGGGCATCGCTACTAGGAGCAAGGACGCTACTAGGGGCTCCTGGCCTTACTACTAGGAACAAGGGGGCGCTACTAGTAGGACGTGGACGGGCCAAAGTTTGACGAAGAGCAAAAGAGCCCGTGCGCACGGGCATCCCAGTTCGTCTGTTCTTGTGAGCCCCTGGTAGCGTCCTTGCTCCTAGCTTGGTACTCCTCATATTTCCATGCAATCTTAAGACATTTGGGAAGGTCTTCCTTCAAAGAAGAATGCCCCTGTTTTCGGTTCGGTGGGGGCCATGGCCAAGAAGAGACTTGGTGCGATGGCCGAGTCGTACGATGGCCAATGGTAGAGTCAAAGGAGATAAACAGGAATATAGACCACTAGTCAATGTGGCCAGGGTCCTTTGCCCTTTCAGGTGATGGGTCATTTGTGCTGGTTTCATGATGGTTTGACAGTTTGAGGGAGGTTGCAACAGCTGCACCCTGCCGAAACTCAGAGGATTTTTGTACGACTTGGACCCACGAATGGCAGCCAAAAAAGAAACAATGAATCAATTTTTCAGCAACTTCCAGTACAAGTTCATACAAGTCTGCCTTGAACAGCCCTACTCTTTCTCCAATGGAATCCTGGAACTGCGTGGTGGTCTCCCAAAGATGTATGTTCAACCTGTACTTGGGAAGATACATCCCAAGGACGAAACATGTTCAGGTCTGGTTGAAAACAACCAAACCAAACCATTTTCATTGAGGCTGAAGGCCGATGCGGCTCGCAAGCTGGGGTGCCCAACGACCACGGTCGGCCGGCTCCGTCGACTCGGGCACACCGGTGTTCTCCCAGCGAGCCGTTGGGAGGGCCGGTGAAGGGCCATGAAAATCCCTAGGAGCAAAGGGCATCGCGACTCGAACGGGGCGCTCCTGGCCATACTACTAGCAACAAGAGGACGCTACGAACGGAACAAAGGCCACTGGAAGTGACCATCCGATCCATATTATTCCGTGGTCCAGTCATGAGAAGACATGAGGTGTTCAACCGGGTGGTGATGAAGCTTTGAGCTTTGCGGTGGGATCGGTTGGGACGTTTGGGCCCCTAGGAACTTTGGGCTGCCACTTTTGCTCTCGACCGTTCCACAACCAGGGGGCCCAACCACTTTGGACGTGCTGATCCGTTCTGATTGACACTGACCCCTTTTCTCCAGACCGTTGGCTGATGTGAGCCGCCTGGCCGGCGACCCAGCTTGATTTCGACCATGGTCGAGCTCAACGGTCTCCTGGCAGAACCGACTCCGAGCCAAATCGCTGACTGCCGTGTGATCCTTCCGCCATCTCTTCCTCCATCGTTCCTGGTTCTTCCGGACCGCACGCGACACCCTCGGCGGGGCGGAAGACGGTCCGTGCTGTCGGCCTCCAAGGAACGGCATTGTCGATCTGGTGGCCACCAAGGACGGTCGACGGGAATCCCAGGTCGGCTGGTCGTGGTATCACTCACTGCATCAGGTGGGTATAGAGAATCTATACCCTTTCCAAGTAATACCCTCAAAAGATGTGGCTTTTCGCTGGTGGTCCCGGCCTCTTCAAGTGAATGGCGGACAGTCGCATTCCTGGCTTGATGCGGTTTCTTTACCAGATGGGGCTGACATGAATCTCCAATGACTGGAGGATGGACATGGGGTCAGAGCAACAGTCCCTCACGTTCGTCCCATGTCCCAACAGGTGTTGACCCTCACATGGCAAAACCTTGGTCCCAACGACTGGACGGTTCAGGTGCGACGGTGTGAGCTCGGACCCGGGATTGAGGTCCATCCGACCCCCATGCGATGTCTGCCCTGGGTCCCCAAATGCCCGGAACTAGCGAGATCTTGAGGAAAGAGACAAGTCAGACCGAGTCACACCGACCAATGCATCCTCCCTGTGCAGGATGTCATTGAGGAGGCAGCGGATTGGGCGCTCTCCCATCCGCCCAACCCCATCTCCAAGCGCGAAGTGCCCAAGACCAACAGGTGCCGATACAGCGACCACCGCTTCTTTTCTTGTACCGCGAGCGTGGTCGTGTCGCCGGAATTGAAAGGTTGCGTGATTTTTATCGCCGCCAGTGTTAGAGGTTTGGGGTTTGACATGGTCGATGTGTGGGATGGGAGGAGAGAGACACAAGTTGTGGACTCCCATATCATGTCTGCCATTGGGTAGAGTCTTTAGAGGACCTTAGCTAAACTTCCAAGAATCTCTTGTTTATTTTAATGTTTTGATAGCAGTTTGTCTTCCTTCAAAGTGTGTGTCTGTGTGTGGGTGGAGTCACACTCAATGCCTAATTTATAACGCTGCCGCATTTGACTGCGACCAACGGAACCACAGACGAAGGCGACAACTAGAGTCTAGCAACTAGAGCACGGAAAGCGTAATGGTCTACACCCCAAAACATGAGGCAAAAGCAGGCCAGTTGAAGTGGCCCAAACATGATAGAAAGAGCTCACAACTAGCTCCTCCACCAACTGGTGCAATCCGTAGATCCAGAACTGCCCATGTGCAGGTTCATGGTGGCGGCGGGTGGCTTGGAGCAGGGCCTCAACACGGCGGTGAACGCCGCGACTCGGTGTTTTCACGAGTCGTTTCCCGAGAGGTGTGGTGAGTCCGGGGAGGGGGGTGGCTGGGCGGGGTGAAATTTGGGTAACTAGGAGCAAGAAGCTACCAGTAACAAAGGGTATCGCCACTAGGAGCAAAGACGCTACTAGTAGCTGGCATCGCTACAAGTAACAAGAAGCTACTAGGCGAAGGTCAACAAAGTCTCCTTCGGAAGCGATGGAACCGATCTCCTGTTTTGGGGAAGTCCTTCTTGGCGATGGGACCCTGGCTTGGGTGACCTGGCTGATCCCCCCAGGTTCCACTCGAGTTCGTGCAGGCTAAGTTCATGGGATAGAAGGGGATCTCCAGAACATGGGGAAGAGTTTTTTCAGTGAACTTGAGGGCCACAATTTGGGCAGGATGCCTTAAAAACACACCTTTCTTTTGGTATTTACCTCCGACGCCCAAATTGAAGCAGACCTTAGCCCGAGCCAGGGGAAGGCAGGTTTGCTTATTTTTGTGCTGGACCAATTATATAGTTTTCAGGACCAGTCTGTGGAATGTTTTTGTGGTTAAAGCTAGCCCATCCCCTATTGTGGCCGGTTAATTGGAGGACATCGGCACATCTACAGCCAGAGCAATGAACTAGTCTTAACCAAGGCGCATACGTGGAATATGGTTGTGGTGTATTCTTTTGGAGGAAATACTATGTACTTGTTGTATGTTGTTATATAGCTATGTGTGGTTGGCCCCGGTTGGCAAGACCATGTTGGTGTTCTTTTGACATCTGTTGATAGATGTATCAAGATGTATTACGTTGGGTTCACCATCGCCATGTTCACCATTTTAGCATGTAAATGCGCAACAATCTCCATGTTCAATCAATCCAACCCAAAATCGAGTTGGGATCCTGGAATCGGTTAAAACGGACTCTGAAAAGAACATGTGTCTCCAATGAAGATTCCTGACATGAAAAAGTCGGAGGGCCAGTCTCGTCTCAGGAAGATTCGGGCAACTCCGTCAAACATGGGGTTTTTGGGCAACCCGTATGGTGCACAGACCGGACTCTCAAGTGGGCAGAATCAGAGGATTACAATGGGTCTCTCTGAGAGTTTCTGGTTTCGGCCAAGAAGTTGACGCCTACTCAGGCTAAGCAACCAACCAACCCGCCAAGTTACTGGTTGACCCCCCAACCCCGGCCTTTCGATGCTGTCCAGTCAATGCTGAATTCCACAGCCCAGGCACCTCTGATGATCGCCCCACGGGTCTGGGGACGTACGGGGAAGCCGGGTCTGGGGGCGATTCGTCACGGCACGGACCCCGTTTCACCCCTGGTAGAACAAGTAGAAACAATGTTCGCTAGTAGTAACAAGTGCATCGCTTCTAGTAACAAGTGCCTTACTAGTAGTAACAATAAGCTACTAGTAACAAGAATAAGCTACTAGTAACAAGTGCATCGCTTCTAGTAACAAGTGCCTTACTACTAGGAACAAGAAGCTACTAGTTTTAATTCTAACAAGAATAAGCTACTAGTAACAAGTGCCTCGCTTCAAGTAACAAGTGCCTTACTAGTAGTAACAAGAAGCAAGTAGTCTATCCGATCTATTCTGTTCTTCCTAGCCATTTTGGTTTCTTCTCACCGGTGGAAGCGCGAACAGTTGGTGGATGCGTTTCTTCTCGATGTCACTGCATGTCGGTGCAGGATGTCACGGTCCTGTCCGAATCGTTCTTTCATGGCGTGAGGTCGGCTTGATGTTCTTCCGGGTACAAGACCACTGGCCACATGCACAGTGCATGGAAGGGTTGTTGGTAAACAACTTAAATCCTCATAGGTAATCCGTTGGACTATAACGGTTGATGAACCAGAGGATGGGCATTCAAACAGATTGATTCATTTGGTCCACCAAAGTTCCCCTTCTTGCTTCCCGGACCCCCGGTCCTTTGGTCTCGGCACATACGATACGTTTCCATCTGCGTCTCGAAGCTGTGCCACGTTGCTGAGGCCATCATCAAATGTTTCGAAGCAGCTTGCTCCCACAAGAGCTTTCGAGAGGCCTGCCTTCAGCCAATTCTTCATTTTTTTTGTGTGGCAGAGGGAAAGGCCACAGAAATTCCTGATTGAACAACCTGCCATGGTCTTGGCATGTCTTGGCATCCGGGTAAGGTGCCGATCTAGTCAGGTCAAAGGAACGTCCCAGAGGTGATTTACATCGATGCATCCCAAGTCTTGTTCTCTCAAGACTCGCTTTTCGGTTTCAGGTTCAGTCACTTACGGGGTTTCGGGGCTCATCAGAGATGAATCATCAGGTTCCTCAGAGAATCGTTGGGGGATCGAAGCAGCCCTCCACATGCAAGCACATACGCACAAGCACACCAGCCAGCCTGAGTCGTTTTCACGACTCAAACCCTTAAACTGCAAACAGGACTGGGGTTGACGAGTTATCTGAGTAGATCAAACTTTGCTGGTGGATATACTTTTCACTAGTTCCCTTTCACCTTCAAAGAGCACCCTGAATTGCCACTGGTGAACAGTGGCACTTAATAAGTTTGATTCACCATGTTTTTGATCCGGGGGAGAGCCAGAAGTGCCAGACTGAAGAATGTTTTGAGACATTCTAGACGGCCTACAATATAATGCTACATATGATGGCAAATGAATTAGCAAGCTTTGCATTGCCCGCTGAATTTGTGCGATTGCACCATTTTTCACTCGGTTAGATTCGTCCACTGATCCTCTCCAATTGAGCCCTGGACCATCCGGTCAAGGTCACTTGGCTTGGCTCCACACTCCTAGACTCTAGACTCTAGACTGGATCTGCCGAAGCACTTTAGTCACAGTGACCACCCAGAACACAGTCCAGTTGCTCCCTTTGTGCGCTGCCTGTGTGCCAAGCGCTGCCAGGGCTTGGCGGTGGAGATGGAGCAATTCACCAACCTCGTCTTCTCCGTGGAATCTGCGGCCTGGAGGTCCCAGGTCTGGCCTTACGGCGATCCGACGCGAACCGAACGGGGCGCTCCTGGCCGTACGACGAACGGAACACAGGGCATCGCAATTGGTAGCAAGGATGCCGCGTTGCTCCCGGCCTGAACGGAGGGACCTGATTGACCGAAGAACTCTTTGAACGGAGGGTGTTTGGAGCAGCCCTGATTCGCAAGGCCTGTAGTTTGGATGTCCAGCTTTTCTTGGGAGTTTGATCTAACAACCGCAGGGGGTGCACAAGGACATGCGTAGCGAATACACGACCTAAGTGTGCTTCTTGGAACTTGTTTTTGATGGTTTTGTTTTCTTTCCCTTTTTCTGTGATGCTCTGTCACATTTTCGCTGGAGGGTCCAGGTACCTCCCAAATTCTGGATCTGCCACACCTCACACCTCACTCAGTAGATGACATCATGTCCTCACTCAGCCTGTTCTGGGAGCTAGCTACTAGTAGCTCCTGGCATCTTTAGCCCGATCTCCAAGGCCCTGCGTCATCTCTTCCTCGCCGAGCGCTTGGCGCAGAAGGCAGGCTCCAAACGTCTTCGTTTTTGCTTTCCTACGTCCTACCCAGAGGCTTACTTGCAGATACTAGCTACATCACCACCCCGCTGCAAAAAAGAAGAGGCAACCAAAAAAGACGCCTACCTCTTCCTATAGCCTACCACCCCCCTCCCCCAGTGGCGGGTTCAGCGGGTTCTCGGTCAGGTGCCAGGGATCGATGAGAAGCCTGCGCCACTGATGCTGGGCGAGACAAGACGAGTTGGCGGTGGTCTTTCTTTCTCTCTTCCTTTTTTCGAGGCAGAAGCAACATCGAAGGCTTGCTTTCTGCAAATTGACAGCACCAGTGCTGATGCTGGCACCCTTTTTTTTTGGATCGTCTGACCGAAGCAACTCCGAAGACCGTTTTTTTGTTTTCTCTCCTACCCTTCTATACATATATATAGCGGAAAAGAGCGTGAGGAATATATACTGATACTGTATTCGGTTCTGCGCTGCGGTGATGGTCCGAATGGCGAGGAGGAGTGGAAAGCTTCGTTGGCTGGTTCATCTCAATCTTGGTTCAGAAACCCACGGACTCGATCTCTTTTTTTCCCAGGACTATTATACTGAGACTCAGTATATAAAGTGACTATGAGGGATCCTATTGTGAAGTGGGTGCATCGTCTGCTTTTTGGAACGACCTGACAGCTTTCCGGTTGCAGCAAGTGTTCTGGGCCAACAACATCATCCGGGTTCAGGATTGTTTGTTTTCAGGATTGGGGCAGCCCCTGTTGGATGCTCAGTGGCCGTGGGTGGCCCCCGAAATAGTGCAGCTGCTGGGAGTCGGAATTGGAGTGGTTCAGTGGGTTTTGCTGAAGGTGATCTCTTCTTTTTCCCTTCCAGTGAATCCTTTGAAAGAATCTGGGACTGCTTGGTATCTACTTACCACCTTCTCAGGTGCAATCCAGGCCTGAAGTATATAAATGAAGTTGGCCTTGAACGGGTCAGCTCAAGCGATGCGGCCTCAAAACTCAAAACAACCGATGAGCCTACCAGCTCAAACCCCAAAGAGTTTAATGATACACATGGTTCGAGCGTCGGACTGGTGCTGGGGTATGCTGCACACTTTCTACAATCCCTACCAGTCCTTGAGAATCATTCAGTGTTGGTCAAACCACAGAGGGACCGGTCCTTGCGGCTGAAAAGGACGCCGCAGTCATGGAGTCCAACGAGTTTGGTCCGCCTGGGCCGCCGCCAGTTTGGACCCTCCGTTCCTAGTTGCTTCTTGCCCCGTTCGTAGCGATGTCCTTTGCCGCCTTTGCTCTGTTCGTAGGAAGGCCAGGAGCCCCGTTTCGGTTCGCGTCCGAACGCTCCGAACGTCTCTGAGGAAGAAGATCGGCATTTTGGGCGCCGGCTTGATGGGTGCCTCGGTGTCGATCGCGGGTTGATCGTTCAGGGTCGACCGCGGGTCGATCGACCGTGCTTTCTGGGTCCCGAGACGGAATCATGATTTAGAGCACTGAGATGGAATCAGAATGATCATAGATTCATCATAGATTCATCTGCATCACTGATGGGCCGCTGGATTCCGCTGGGCAAAGACAGCTCGCCGACGGAGTCCAGTCGCCCAGACCTGGGGGTCCTTCATGTCTCTCCACTGGATTGGACCTGCAGGAGCTGGTTGGTCCGGTTGGTCGCATGAGTCCAAAGATCAACCAGAAGCTGGCTTCCTAACAGCAGCCACTTAATACGCTATATAATTGATTAATATATATATATATACCAGCTTTGTCCGTGTGACAGACAAGCAACCTTTCAAGATGTTTGATGTCAAAGACCACTTCAAATCATGTCTTTAACGGCACCCTGTGGTGCTCGGAATCCGGAGCAGAAAAAAGCCTTCTATTGCTTAGATGGATCCCAGTGCGACCTCACATGACCTCTGGAAGCGAAGTCGACTTGAGGAGTCAGGACCCCCTAAGTCGGCTGTGGTTCTTCCTTGACCAGCCATGATGAGTTCTGGAACCCCGTGATTTTTTGAGTCGCACATGATGAGTTCTCCTACTCGCACTCTCCCCTAGAAAAGAAAGACAACCAAACCCTGCCAATTAGAACAACGCTGGATCTCTCCATGCCGACCCCCATGCGTTGGAGGCGGTGGCATCGTCAGGGGATCCCGGTCGGAAGCATGGGCCAGTCTGACGGGAACCTCTTCGGCAGGAGGGATTTCGAGGCAGGATCCTGAGCCACCTATAGATCCTATATTATAGGGGATTTCGATCCACTTGTCAAGCAAGTAGGAGGATCTGGATCTAGAAAGATTTGTTTGTATCGAGCAAGATGCGAAGATGGATTCTTGTTTGAATAATTATTGCTCAGTAGGGAGGCACCACTGATTCTCTCCGGAAGTTTAACGACTGCGGGTGACAGAAGGTGATCGAATGTGATAGCTATTCACCACCTTTGCCTCAAACATTGCATCTAGAATCTACATGTTTCATAAGCTTGGATTCTAGGCTCAATTGAGAAGCCCTGGATGAGCACCACCCACCGCCCTGCAACAGGGACTTTTCATTACATGACGGTGGTGTAGTATGCTTATAGGTTTTGTTCGATCGCTCTGTTAGATCGCTTCAACCTTCGTTCTTTGCGCCGGACGTGCCAAGGCCATGTGCTTTGTACAGAAGGGCGTGCCAGTGGTGCTGAAGGAGCGGAAGCCCCGAAGCATCGCGACACAAAACTGCGGACACGGATCAGTGTGTGCCCAGGATGGTCGATCTCTCTCCTGACGCAAATCAGAACTGAAGCGAATCGAAAACAAAGGAATCACTTGTCAGATCTAAAGCAAAAGAACAAGAGAAGGTCTAAAAGGTCTAAAGAAGAAAACAAAAGGAAAACCACCTCGTGAAGAATCATCAGTAAGAAAACACCTGAACGAATCGATGAGAAGGCTCCCCCGCTGTGAGGACGCCAAGCAGGAGTGGTTGGATGCCGGCATGAAGAAGATCGAGTCCCTTTGGGGCGGACAGGCGATTTTTGCTGCGATGAAGGAAGGAATTGGATAGGGGGTGAGTCAATGAAACAGAGGGGGAACAGAGAAGAGCAAATACTGTATGTAGATGATTTTAGGCGTTTCAAGCTTCTAGGTTATGATATCTACACAGTCATGTCCTCACCTTGCAACCCGCTTTACCACTAGCCTGCATATTTCATTCCAGGCGGATCATGGATTGCTTGGGAGGGTAGGTTTATGTGGGGGCTGGGTGATGGGGTCGCCGGGTCTTTGACGCTGTTCAAAACATCGGTGGGATGTTGAATCTGGTTACTGCTGGCGGGTTTTCAATTACTTCTTCTCAACCTCGTCCAAGGAAATCTTACATATATAGATTTATAATGTTATTCTGAAGTTATTGTATTTCATCATCTATTCAATTCCCGACAATGGACATCTTAGCGTCTCCTGGCTTTCCTCCCAGGTTTTGAAGGCGCCAAAGAAAATTTGGGAGCTTCGTCACCCGAAAGACGAAAGGGGTATGAATCCAGGATATTTAGCTAAGCTATGCGTAGCTATGAAGCGCATAGCTCCTGCTCCCCCCCATGGCTGTAGCTTCATGGCTCCTCACCTGCCAGGCCAAGAGGGGTGGTTTGAGCAAGGATAAGTTCAAGCAGTACATGAGCAGCTTGGCATTGGATGAGCTTCGCATTTTTCACCAGTTTGATTTGGCTCGAGCACAAATGAATCTCCCAAAACACATGAAGGATGCAGCTTTTCTGGCACAGCGAAACCACAGGGATGCAGAGTGGAATTTCTTCTCCCAAACTACCTTTTCGTTGTAACCTTTTCGTATCGACTCTTGATGTCTGGGACCGGTGCTTAGCTCCCGATAAGCTTCCCAATTGTGAACATCAAACGTTTGGATCTGGAGCGGATTTGAAGTAGTCATTGCTTTGAACAAGCCAATTGAATGAACATGTGTGAAGGGCAATGCTTCGATATTTCTTCTCGGCCAACGGCAAACAGGGTTTGTATCTCTTTCGACGCGTTCCAGTTTATGTAGAGTTGGGATATTCGACCTTCGGCGAAGCATACACCGAAGCATACCCTATAGTCAAACATCCCTGCCGGCGAACGTCAAAACAATTCAATGTTGTTCCAGGGTGCCATCCTGCACCGTTTGGGAATGAATGTGGGTCAAACCTCCATATTGCTGGAGCCATCATTGCACAGTCGTGCTCGAAACACCTTATAGACCCCCCAACCGAGCGACGAACGCTTTATGGAAACTAGGCGATTAAACGCGGACCGATCAAGGCTTTTCCAAGGAAAAAAACTCCTAAAGCCGAAAAGAGACGAGTTTTGGTGGCTGGGGTGGGTCGGCTTTCTTATTTCGATCCACCAAAATACCGACTGCTGTTTCGACTAGGATTGGCTAAGAGTAGGCAGGCATGAGTCCCAAGACCATCTCCAGGGTTTGTTAGATCGAAAAGTGCTACCCCCTTCTCCCCTGAGACATCACAGATGTGGGCGGTGGTCAGTTTGGATCAAAGACGGTGACACCATTGGCTTCAAAGCTAGGTAATCTTGATATTATGCACCAACAAGACTCACAAGACATTATGCACCAAGACCGAAAAGTAACTGAACAGAACAGTTTTCTTGAAAACCTTGGCTTTGGCACTCCCTCAGCACACCGAGGTCGAACGAAGGAATCCAGGGACCATAGCCACTTTCATTTTCACGCAGAAAGTGTTTCCACTGTGTGATAAACTCCTGCACCAACTGACTTGCCAAACTTTCCAAGCTTGCTTGCCCTATCCATCTCAGTCTCCGCCTCCCCAGGCCTCATTAAGCCGACTTTGCTCCTTGGGCGCAGTTCGCCAGGTCAGTACCATTCGGTTTCGAGTTGTCCGCCCTGATGGCTGTGAAGAATACCCCATTGAAGCGTATGATCAGATTGCTCAATTTGATCTACTACAAGAAGGCTTTCCCACGGTTTCGCTCGACTTTTTAGGTGTTTGTATGAGCACCCTGGCTCACCATGTTATTGAAAGCCGACGATTCCTGGCGAATTGGGATCAATTCCATGCTTTGTAGCTGGCCACAGTCTTCACTGCTGGGTGTAAGATCACATCTATTCTCATGTCAGTATTTCCGCAGGCTGCCTAGCTTCAACTTGTATACATTTTGTACAGAGGTCTGGTCATGACCCCTGAATACCAGCAAAACGGAGGAGGTTGCACCAAACTTCCTTCCTGAAGGGTGGATTGGTGGATTTCCAACTTCCAACTTCCCACAAAGTGCCAAAAGGATCCAAAAGGGCCACTTTTGGCATCGCCAGGTTGAAAAAAAAGCCGCTTCCAAGAGTCGGGTTTTGCGGGTTTGTCCACGACCGGATGGTCTGAAAGAACGAGGGGATTCAGTGATGCCACGGTTCCTGCGCCTGCACTTGTTACTAATAGCTTCTTGTTACTAGTAGTAAGGCACTTGTTACTAGTAGCGTGGCACTTGTTACTTATCACTTTTTTCCGGGATTCAATGATGAGTTCACCGAACTAGTCGATGTAGTCGTCGCTCCCGAGGGACTATGCGGACTTCAAAGATGTCGACATGGTCATCGCTGCTTCGTCCCGCATTTATTTTATAGCCAGACGGGACGGACAGCGGGGATACCGTGAAATCGGAGCGGATGGAAGACTTGGAGATGGTGTTGGTCGAGATTGCAGCGACACACGCCGAAGCGTCACGGAGACCTGGAGACTGGCCCCTTTTCAAACACCGAGTTTCCTCCTTGACTGAGTTTCCGCATTGCATTGGAACAGTGGAGCAAGTTAGAGTATATAGATCGGGGCAATACATAAAGAATTGTAGTACTGTAGTACTGGACGTCCGATGGTAGATCTTGCTGTCTCACAGGTTGTAGTAGTTCGTCCCTGCTCGTGAGAACACACACTGCAGATTTTGGGGTCCTCGCCAAAAACTTTGATTGGATGCGACACAGCCAATGCCGGGCAATGCCATGGTTAGATCTGACGGTTAGATACCCAAGCAATGCTTAAAAATCTTAAACGTTCCGTGGTTCTTACTCCAAGAACGCTTATAAGGTTGCTCTACATGTTTCCCACGTTTTAACTCCATGTATCTGGAACAGTCCGTCACCAACCTGTCTTTGTAAAGCATCCACTTCGCACCATAGCAGAGACCCTTGCTAGACCCATCCATGTCCACTCCCATTGTTACTACTAGCGTGGCACTTGTTACTAGTAGCTTCTTGTTACTACTAGTAAGGGACCTGTTACTACTAGCGTGGCACTTGTTTCCTCTTGCTCCGGTGCCCAGGAAGCGGTCCCAGAGATCATGGAGCTCAAGAAGGAGGCGACAGCGATCGACCGGCCTCCACCGGCTGGCGCACGACCGGCCTCTCGAGCGGTCCGGTGTTGAAGACGGGTGGTACCGGTCCTCTCTTTTTTCTTTGTGTTCTTATTCCGGGTGGGTCAATAGAACAGGTTGAAGACCGCACCCGATGAATTAGGGTCTCTCTAGAAAAAAGGAATATGATTGGCAGGTTATTTTGTGAATGTGTTTGTTTAGTGTTCTTGGATTGTGACCAAAGCTGGCGGTCTGAGACCACAGACACCTTCAAAAACAAGATTCTGAGGAGCGAATAGGTTGGGATGGTAGCGACCACGAGAGAAGGAACAGGCCCTGCAAGGTGGATGCTACACCATGCAAGTGAGCGCTGTGACTGCCCAGCATAGCGGCATAGACCCAAATGAGAGCCTGCAGACCAAGCGACCGAACGGAAACAAGGTTTCCCCACATGATTTTTGCTCTTTTGAGGTTTGTATGCTCTTTGGATCTAACAAGTGAGTTCGGTTCATAAAGAGTCACTGGGGGCAATTCGATTTTATTTCCTCGGCAAATGGTTTCTATTACCTGGGAGTAGTAGGGAGAATTGATTCGTTGTAGTTTTGGTTGTCTTAGATTTTGTCTTAGATTTAATGATTTAGATTCTCTTTCCAACTGCCTGATTCGAGAACTTTTGGAGCGTGTTAAAACTGCCAACCAGCAGTTTGAAGTGTAGTAAAGCTAGCCATTTTCCCAACTGCCTGCTTCGAGATATTTCTTGATGCGGTGTAGGATGGATGCCGTACCTCCTTGATTGGTCACTTGGTCTCGGCATGTCTCCGCGAAGTTTGGCAGGTCTTCTTGGACATTGAGAAAAACACCAAGCCCGATGCGTTGATCTGCACCAACACCAGCGGGCTCAACATTGATCCCTGGTGGTAACGACCTGGAGAGTCCGTTTTTTCTGAAGAGAAGGATCGGCTTTGAGGTACGGTTTTGTCGATCGCCAAAGCGGTGAACCTGTAAAACCTTTGTTGGGGATGGGGTTCCCTGCCAAAGATGGTAGAGAAAGGTCCAGGGAACAGAAGACAGAAGGTTAGGAATAAAGGAGCAATGTCAAGACCTGATTAATTAATACACCGCCCCCCCCCCCACATGGTAGGTCAACAAGGTCAACAAGGTATGAGGTACCACTCATAAGGTCCACCTTGCCTGAATAATGTGCTATGAGACCCAAAAAGAGACGAGCAGAATGAGGTGAGAGTTGCTGAATGAGCAGCATGAGTTGAGAGTTGGTGAGTTGATTGATGAACCTCCCTTAGTTAATGAATTAATGAAACTACTAAGCATTTTTTGGGGTTGTGTGGGCTTGGATTAAGTGGGGCGGTTTCTGGCACCCAACTAGAGAATTAGGGGCAACTATGCCACCAATACTAGCGTGCTCGGATTAACTAAGGGAGGTGAATTAATAATGACTTTACATTACGCAAAACTCCAGAACAGCGCCAAGATTGCCAAACAATCGTCACTTAGCTGAGAGATGGTGGGAAAGATTTTGGGTCGCTGCAATCAGGCAATGCAAAACGCTGACGACTCATTGTCAGGTATCGAACACCAAAGATCATTGTGCACTATTTTAGGTGCAGCCACAGTTACAGTCTCGGGATCCCACTGCACCGTCGAGGATGACATCGCATGCGTGCTGAAGGCAGCAGCGTTTGTCTTGGGAGTGGGGAAGCTGGGGGGAAAGATCACCAGGGATTTGGCAGAACAGGATAGGTCTGGTTTGTGGGCATTCTTAGTAAGAACCAATTGCACCTATTCTTGGTTATATTCCTATCCTGTAGGAACCAAATGAATAGTGCGAGCGCTTCTTCAAGGAAGCTCCCCCCGGGAAGCTCCCCCCCCCCCTTGGGTGAGCTTCCTTGAAGAAGCGTGAGCTATCCTGCGTCCGTTCGGTAGCAGGTTACCAAGTAGTTTGTTTAGGCTCATCAAGGACCCCGCTGTTTTTGAGTGTTTGCACCAGATTTCGTGCGGTATTTGCGGCACTTTGTAGTTTCGCGTGGTATTTACAGGTGTTTTTGACAGTCGTTTCCCTCATGCACATGATCGCGTGGTATTTACATTTGTGACATGCGTTTCCGTCATGCACATGATAGCATGTGAAGGGGGTGGGGCGGGTGGTGTGCGCTTGGGGGGTGTTGACGTTCGTGTCGATGAACATTCCGAGTCTTGCGCATCATAGCATGTGGGGGGGTGGGGGGGGGGGTGGGCTGGGGGGTGGTGTCTTCCTTGAAGAAGCGCTGGCACCAATGATTTGGTTCCTAGATTTTTTGTGAAACATAACTATAAACAGGCGACTGCACAACACCAGCATGCAGTACGCAGCGTGGCCCTCACCCTTACTCAATTCAGTATGCGGCTAAACAAGGTAGCGGCGTTGTTAAGGACCCCGCTGTTTTTTAGTATTCCAAACATGAAAACTCCACGAAAACAATATTTCCACTGTTATTTGCAGGAGAACAAACAAATTTGTCAGAATTCCATTGTGTAAAATTTTCAGGTTCAAACAACAAATAAGTTAAACACACGCGAAATTGGACACACATTTGGTTAAACCACACTCGGAATGTTCATCGACAGGAACGTCAAAACCTCCCCAGCCCACCCCCCACCATGCTATGCTGCGCAAGATTCAACACCCGGAGCTTCCTTGAAGAAGCGTGAACTATCCTGCGTCCATATGTAGTAGCTACTTAAGCTACTAGCCCCCCCCCAAAAAAAAGAGAAAACCAAAAGGACAAGGAAACGATTTCTCAGCTTTGTTTTGCACCGGTCCAACCTCGGACCTTTTCGACGGGCACAGGATCGCGATCGGCCGGCAGATTCCGATCAGTTTTGGTCTTTCAACGGCATGAAACGGGATTTCTCGGGATTCTTAACGGGGTTTCAAAGATTCCTTTGTTTAGCGAATCTCAGGAAGATTGAACACCTCCTTTTGAAAAATCGGGATCTTCGCAAGGGACCATCATTAAGTGAAAGTGTATTAAATGACCAAAACAGCGCCTTGGACCTACCGCAATTCAAGAGACTGTAGCTCTTGGGGGTTTTCCAATGGTTTCCCAGTTTCTGAATTGTCTTCTCCGCTTCATTCTGCGCCGTGTCTGGTGGGTGCTTTATTGGTCGCCACTTCTGTACGTAGTGATGAAAGAACATGCAACTTGGTGGGTCAAGCAGTGATAACGAGGTCACCTCTCAGAATTGACTTGGCCCGGATTTAGAGTGGCATAGAGCGGCTGAAAGAAAGAGAACCACCTCTGAATTCCTATTTATTGGACAGAATTCTCTTCCAGGAGGCCACCAATAAAACAAAGGGCTTGCAGGTCCAATGGATGAAAGGCCTCAAGGCTCAAGGCTTTTGCAACTTGCTGTCTCAGCCGGACAGGATCCTACCCGCGTGATGGGTACCCACTTCTTCTCTCTAGCGAATGTACCTTGGCGAGAATTGGGTCACAACATACTGTGGAGAGAGTTTGATGGCGCAATCCTTAGTACAGATGGCCCAACCATGCGTTTAGTCGGGGACTGTCTCAATCTCTGCATCAAGTCTGCACCATGTACTTATGATACCGCACCATTTGTGATTTGTGCGATAGAATCGTGGCAATGACTGGCACCTAGGATTGCAACCCTTTTAATTACCAGTCGCACCTTTCTGGGGTAAGGAGCGGTCAGGAGTCAGGAGTCAGGCGCCGAAAATAGCAGGTTCTCCACTGAAAAGAGAGCCGACAAGCTACACGTAGTTTCTTAGCCACTGGCCAGGCATTTCAAGCGAGATACCTGCGATCTGGATCGCTGCCACGGTGTTTTTCTTTGGTGTGGCCTCGAGTTACCCGGGCAAGGGTGGGTGCGTCCGCGGCTGAACCTGTACCTTTCGTCTCCAGGGGAGCCACCAGCTCAAGTCTGATCAGTACTGGCGAAGCGCACTGGAGATGGGAGGAAGGGCACTGACATCACGGGCGTTCCAAGATGTGGCCACGTTTTGGTGCAGCAACGCCATGGAAGGCTTTCCATCGTCCTTCCATGGCTTCCCAACCCTCAAAACGTGTGGCTTCAGGGCGGATGGGGTTGACTGAGGTGATGCAGCTCTTGGAGAATATCCGCACCGCTAAGTCTTCTGCCCGCACACTGGCCACAGGCGAAGCTGGGGGATCGGGATGAGAGATTTCGCCTTTGCTATCAAAGGACTATATTCTTGTAGTTGAACGAGGCCATGGGTGGTGCTTCGGAACAGGCCACCATGTATAATCATAATCCCCGACCACAAACACGCTGCCATTGAGGTCTCTTTTCCCGGACAGCACAATATTTTCGACGGAACCTTGGGAGTTTGAACCTTCCCAATCCTCGAGCGGAGAAAAGCACATTCGGCGGCTGTTGTCATGTTGGTTTTTTGATTCTCTGTTCAATTCTTGAACGTGGCCCAGACTGGTGGCTGAGCTGGCCGTAACGGCTCTTGTCGTGCCGCTTTGTGGGGGACTTTGTGGGAGCTATGGAAGTTCAGAAGCTCTGTGACTGAAAGAGCCACAACTAATCACAAGCATATTACGCCTCGCTCGGCAACTCGTGACATCAATTGGGCGCTACCCAGTCAGTGGTGACGTCCGAATTGAGGTTTTACACTCTTTTGGTTGAGACGTTCACATTCTACATCTACAAGTGCCCTCCAGCAGGTTCTTTTTCTGTTTCTAGGTGAAAAAGGCATCGTTTTCAGGGTGGTCACCTGGTGGAGGATTGGAGGCGCAGTGCACCACGGGCTGGGGTGGGGGACGGCCGAAGGCCGTGGACACACGCACCGGGTCTGCGTGGCCTCGGATTTTTGTTTTTTCGCTGTAGTCCTTTCTCTTCGAGGCAAAAGGACACCGCAAGGAAACCACGTGTGTTCGAGGCATGGCGATGGGGAAACTCATCAACAAGAAGTGTATCATGGTGCCTCATTTGCGATTGGCGAGGAGCGAGTCTTGAATGTACCAGAAGCAGTTTGGAGTCCCACGCCCGAAATTCGGGTCGAAAAAACATGGAGGTCTGTGACTCATCTTGCGGATGGGCCAATGTCTCGGGAGAAAGCAGTTTGCTGCAGCCCTTTCAATCTGAGACTTACTACGCCTATGTGCGTTTCACCCAAGCGAATAGGTCTCTTGCAGCGTCTTTGGCATCGACTAGAAAACACATATTATATATATATAGTTTCGTTCTCCATTCGTTTGCTTCCAAGAGGGGAAGTTGGGATGTGACCGTATTAAATCTTAGAATCTGCATTTTCCTAGTACGTTACCGTATTTCGATGTATTTCCTAGAGTGTCGTGGTCATGTCAAGTCCAAGCTGGTCTTGACGGGTGACGCCATTTGGAGCTCGATCGTTTGGACCGTTGGGTGTCAATCAAACTCCCAGGGGGGGACAGTACTGTACTCATCCTTCAACAAGAAAGTTCCAACAGTGCCAAAATGAGATCATGGCTTTATCACATTCCGACTGTCACTGTCAGTAAAGCACAGAACTGTCGTCTTGCTCGCGGCACAGAAGCTGTCATCCTTCACCGGTGATTAGGGCCATGATGGGACCAACCAAAAGGGATCCTAAAGTAAGGCCCTTGTTACTACTAGCTTCACGTTACTAGTAGTAACGCCCTTGTTGCTACTAGCTTCTTGCTACGAGTAGCGATGCCCTTGTTACTAGTAGGAACGATCTTTCATGCCAATGGCCCCAGCGGCCCTAGGTGGGGAACTGTGATGGCTTCGTTGGAAACCGCATGGCCCGGGCCCCGACCCGTGGCGCTTGGGTTCCGAACTCTCGCGGTGCTTCCGGGGGTGGTCCGCTGAGTGTCATTCGTTGGGACGATGAAATGGCACTTGTTCCTAGTAGCTTCTTGTTACTACTAGTAAGGCACCTGTTACTACTAGCGAGGCACTTGTTACTACTAGTGAGCCCCAGAATTTCATCAAGAGCAAGTCATTGAATGACCTGAACATGGCTCCGACGAGGTGGGAGAGTCAGTTTGTCAGTTTGTATGGATCGTTTTGTTCGAGATGCGCATGCTTCGATTTGTTCGCACTTTCCAAGAGCATAGCTCTAACCAGTGTCTGATTAAACTAAGAACTGGTAGCTCAAAAAGGAACCACTTTTTTGATACCGATGCTAGCAAGCTTCCTAATTGCTGATAGTGAGCTCTTCGAGATTAGCAGAGGATGAGGAGGAAGTCCAAAGCAGAGTATATTTCCGCAGTTTTTGGACTGTATTCAGATTTTCCCTGTGACCCCACCCGCTTCTTCGCCTCATGCTTTTCATGCACCTTCATAGCGCCTCCAAGCTCGCATCGACCGGGGAATCTTGAAGATCTTTTGCTCCGCACGTTTTGTTGGACGTTTTGAAGCCAGTGCATAGTCGGTATATAATTGAATAGCATGTAGATAGGTTCAAGGCAAACCAGATCCGAACCTTAATGGGTTGAAGAAGTGATGTGCATACAGCAGTATAGATTGACTAGACACATGCGGTGTTCTCATTTCATTCGTGCAGACAGAGCCGACTACATCAGTCCCCCCTGGCACCCAGATCGCGCCCTACGCCGGTGAAGCCAAGTCGTGATCTTGGTGGGATGGCACGGGGTGGTGAAGTTCTTGTCTCCCTAATATGGAGTTCTGCAATTGGAGTTCTTGGACTTCGAGGCCCGAAGCTACTAGTAGCGTCCGATCGCTCCTAGTAGCGATGCCCTAGGATGCTCCAGTAGTACGGCCAGGAGCCCCTAGTCCCAAAAATCTTTGCTCCCTTCTCCTAGTCCCAGCCGAGTAAGAAATGGGCGCCGCGCATGTGGACCAACACCTACCTCCCTTGCACAAAACACGCATTCTTGTGTCAAGCCTAAGAGTTGAAGAAGAACCTAGTGATGGCTACTGGACTGAGTGGTCCACTAGATGAAATACTTCCAGGGTTTCCGGCCAGAATTGCCGGTTTGCACCAAGATTTTTCGAACGTTACGTGGGACGCCTTGCCAAATGGTTCTATCGGTGGAAAGGCCGATGTTCTGGGCAAACGTGTTCTGGGTGGAGAGACTGGTGTTTGGTCCGTGTTTCGTATCAAAATCTATTCTGGACGCTTTTGACATTCACGTTTCTAGTTGGCAGTAAAATAGCTCCCTCATTCAATCGCGACATGCTGGCTTCGAATCTGAATCCGACATGATTTCAACTGCTAAGAAAGGACCAAATAGACCTACAAGGGTGTGTTTAACTTTAGCTGAAGGGCTGAAGGGGTCATACAGCGACACTGCAACATCTTTGGAGGTCCCTGTACATGCACAGTGGTTCCTCCAGCTTGGGTTATCCCACCATTGGTTCACCAGTTGTGCTCAGCCACCCCTCAGCCACCCCTCAGCCACCCCTCAGCCACCCCAGGATAGACGCGTCTCGACGTCCAAACCGCGCCCAGGATGGTTTGGGAGGAAGGCGCGACCGTGGAACAGATCGACAAGGCGGCCACGACGTTCGGCCGCTGAACCGCAGCTGATCGAATCGGATCGAGGCGTTATCGCCAAAACACCCACAGCCCGGTGTTCCGAAGTGATCGGGCCCACTCTTCTTGATCTATCAAACATCATCACACCATTCAGAACCTGGGTACACCACGCAAGGGATGGTTGGGAGACATACCCGTCATAGTGCAGGGTGGTTAGCACTTGTTATTCCTTGGGCTCCTGGCAAGACGTAGCAAGACGAAGACACCCAATTTTTTTGGTCATGACAACCTTTTCATAGCAGAGAGTATAAGTAGTAGCGGCCTTCGTAGGCTGGAGGCTGATCGGGAGCACTATCTTCCGATCTCTCTTCCTAAAGGATTCCCGGTTTGTGCGCACATTCTTTTTGTGTTGAGCAGTCTCAATGTATAATGTGAGGCCAACGTGGGAAACCAGCTGAAGTACTTCTTGGTTGTTTTTCTCTACGATGGATTTAATGAATTTGTTCCACCTCGCTTCGCCGGCTTGGCACCTCCGTGGGGTGTTTTGCCCCCCAGCTCAGGTGAAAGACAAAAAGGGGAAGCGGGAAGCAAGTTATATATATCAAAAAGTGGAGCTGAAGACTGGGTCTCATAGCCTGGCTAAAGTGGAGATAATGTCCACCTCTGATTAATAAATAGCCCCCCCCTCATGAGTGACCTCAAATAGTCTTAACCAGTGTTTTAGTATTAGTATCGGCCTTACTATAGAAGAAAAGAATCTATAGAAGAAAGAATCTACAGAAAGGAATCCATGTTAGAAGAAAGGAAGCCATCACCTGAGCAAGAATCCTCAGCAGGACTCATTGAGGATCAAAGGACCCATTGACAATTAGTATTCACGAAAGGTAGCTTGAGCTACCTGAGTTCTCCTTGCTTTAGCAAAAATGTATTACAATCAGGAGTTGGGATTGTGCATTGAATTTGGTCCTGTAAGAGTTGATTCTGTTCGTCGGGGGGGGGGCCCCCCCCCCCCCTGGATCAAATCCCCCCTGCGCCGGTTCACGCCGTCGTGGACTTCTACCAGGGTTACTTGTGATTGCCTGCTACCTTTCGTTCACCCCCTCCTCTCTCAAGTGTGGACAACTTTTCTGCCAGCAAGAGTCTTTAGCTTTATTTAGGGTATGGTGGCTTCAAGGGGGGTACCCTTTCCAGACTAATTTTGGTCAGTTTTTGGTGGGTTTGGAACAATGAGGTTCTACAGTTTTGATCAGCAGATTTTGGAGTTTGGTGAGTCCAAGTGATAAAATTATGACGGAAGGATGCCAGAACGAATCCAAAGAAGGAACCAATTATATAAGAATTGACAGGCACAAACTCAACTAAAGCTAAAGGACAGGAGTCTTTTTCAAGACTTTGGTGTAAAGGCTATATTGATTTGGGATATCTAGGTCCAGAAATACAAATAGTGAGCTTAATTCAGGGGTATTTGACCAATTGGCTTTAGGGGTTTGCTCAGCTTTATTCAGAGTCATTTGATTAATCATAGGTCGACATTTTTGTCACAAAACAAACCACATGAATCCACATGACGCGTGCAGAGACGCTTGTGTATTGTGCCATTTGTCTTGCATTATCTCCCCACCCCAGAACTGTCCAAGCACATCATCACTGGTCACTATACTGGGCATCGCTACTAGTAACAAGTGTATCGCCAATTACTAGTAACAAGAGCATTGCTACTAGTAGCAAGAAACTACTAGTAACAAGGGCTCCGAAAAGCACTGTGAGACCCTGGCTGTGGGCGGGGGCACGGGGGCACTGCCTGAATGGAGGCCTCCATGTGTTGCACTGAGGAATGGCCATGGGCCCCATGGCTTTGGGTGACCTGGTGGGCCAGGAGCTCTTCTGGAAGCAGCGCAAGGCGTGCTTTCTCCTTTGGCGCGCCGGGGAAGAGTTGGGGCTGATGCCTAGTGGGAAATCGATGTTTTGGGAAAAAGAAGACAGGCTGTCAGGGGGTTGTTGCAAGATTGTTCCACTGTCACCGTTCTTTGAGTCTTTGAGATGGTGATGGTGAGAACCCTCATTGAGCACGAGGAGCAACATAGATGCAAGCAGGCACATTTTATAGTCACCAGACTGAGCACATCCATGTACTGGAGAAGTGCCACCGATACAGTCGCAGGTAACCTCAGGTAGACAATGAGGCAACGACTCCGCATAAAGTGAGTGCAGTTGCAAGGTTCTAAATAAGCAGAGTTGTTTTGTTTTTGTTGTTGTTTAACACCTGGCGGCAGAAAAGTTTGACAGAGGACGGGGACCCTCATTCAAGGCTTGGGCATGGACACTACATCATGTCATGTGATTGCTTTCGGCATCACTGGCAAAACACATTGCCAAACCTTCCAGCAATGCAATAAGTTAGATCTTTAAATGAGCTCGGCCTGAATCCCCTCAGTGACACATGTTTTGAAGCGCCACCCAACCCGCAAAGATGGCCCCGTCCTGGCAGGCAAGGGTCAAATGAGCTGTAAAATACTAAAAGTATCCAAAAGTCAGGCTTTTTCGGATCCCTCTTGTTTCGTTTGACTCTTGCTTCCCACGCAGCATCCTGTGCATCTTGACGCAAACAAGCAGGCTGCAGGTGACATGAACAAGCAGACAAAGACCTACTTCGGTGTGGTGCTTGGTCCAACGGTCGACCGTTGACGTGGAGATGTGTGCGAGTGCCGTGGCGAGGGTGTCCTCGGGTGACACACGAGGGACGCCGTGGCGACACGTGGTGTCGACTCGTTGGCGACAGTGCCAATCAGTGGCTCTTTTGCTACCTACTAGTAGCTAGCCATCTCTTACCCATCCACCCCAAAAATCACCCCTGGGATGACGTTGCTTTGGGTGTGAGGCCCCTATGAGCTCACCGACTGGCTGTGCGAGCAGGGACGCTTCGGCATGAAGACCCCAGACCCGAAAATCAAGGCGCCGCCCTGCGAGACTCGGTTGGTGACAGATGTTGGAAATGCTTGCAATCTCTTTTTGGGCCTGTGAAGATGGCAACTCATCTCAGTGAAGCACCGTGTGTTTATTCTCTTAGATCGACACGTCAGTCACGACAAATGGACTTGACCGATAGGATGGTTGTCCGGATCACATCCCTTTCACCTGAAAACTGTTAGGAAGACTTCATTAAATAGAGCAGAGTACAGATGTGGGGTCACTATAGGCAATTAGATACATCGTAATACTGATACTGATCATCAGTTGACAGGGGCAATGACCCCTGTTGCAACGCCACCCGAACGGACGAAACAGTGCAGGCAGATGGCCGTGGTGTTTTCATCCACAAGGGCCGCAGCAAGGAGCTGAAGAGATGAGATGGCAACCCGTGGGTAACCATTTGACGGTTCAGAGGAGCAGCAAAGCGAATTAGAATATGATGATTTTGTGTTTTATCCCTTTGCTCTTCCTTTAACTATCTTTACATCAGAATTGATTGCAGCCAGGGTCGACATCAAACCGGCGACTGTGAAATGTGGCCTATAGGCCGAAAGGTGTCAGGGATGAGATGGGAAGAGCAAAACGAGCACGGTTTCAGGCTCTTTTCACTGTTTTGGAGACGAGGAAATGAGCAAAAGCAGCCAGTGATGAAATGTTGGCAACTGGTCCAGTTGCCGTCTCTACTGTTTCTTTTCCATTTGCAGCATGGTCGGTCAAACACGCATTGTTGTTGATTTTCGTTTTCAGTGCTTTTGACCTTCCATGAATTGGGACATGCGCGCCTCTTTTTGGAAGTTGTGAACCACACTGCAGGAGGTGGACCCTGAGGTCGTGGCGAAGATGGAAGAGGCGAGGTGGCCGCCGTTGGGATACGCAACGACCCGGCGAGGTTCGCGGCCGTTCCGAGCAGGTGCGGAAAGCCAAGGGCGTCGTTCCCCGGGCGATCAGCGATGAGGAGATCTGTGAGAGGCGCGGCGTGTTGCGGCAGGTTGCGGCTGGCAGGATGAGGACGGCTGGCGTGTCGTAGGGGAATGATTCAGATAAATGATAAATCAGAGTTTTCTCCACAGGATTTCTGAGTGAACTATGGAGTATGGTGAGTACGGAGTAATGTCATATATACCCTCAGCCATTTGGCTCTGCCTAAAGAATGTATCACATGGACGTACATGTTTGCTTTGTGGGTTTGATGCAGCAGGCGGCATCGTCCAAATGTGGGAGGCAGCCTTGATGTTTTCTCACACAGAAGATGGGGAGTGTCACTGTCTTAAGGGGTGCCCCATGAATTGTTGGTCTCAGGTCCGATCATTCTTTTCGGTCGCAGACTTGCATCATCCAATTTGAAGAATGATTACATCATCAGGTTGCGACGCGAGAACTTTGGGCCAGGCTCTTCTATCCTCTCATCAATGAGGGCTTCAAGATCCTCGAGGAGGGCTATGTGGCACGCTCCAGCGACATTGACCTCGCGTGCGCCCGACCACGCATGGCCACTGCGGGGGCGAGTTTGCACATGCTGGTCAGAGCTGGAGTGGGGCCAATTGGAGGGCAAGAGGGGAGAACAGGTGGGGCTGCCTGATGAGGTGAGTCTTCTGAAAAAGGACTATGACTATGTTTTATTCCACCACAGAACTGGGCCATAGGGGTCATGTGTTCGTGCAATAAAACGGTCGGTGGAATGGAGAGGTAGGACGGCCGAAGGGAGCGACACCGAGCGACACCGTTGGGAGGTACATCTATGGCTATGGCTTCCCTCCATCCAAGGGAGGTCCCATGTTCTTCGCCGAGAACTATGTCGCTCGTCGCATTGGGAAAAAAGGGGGCGATGCAGAGAAAGGTCACACGGAAGGAGCCCAGGTTATGGAACTAGCTTGGAGTGTTAGCTTGGAGTGTTAGCTTCGAGTTTTGGGAGTGTCAGCTTGGAGTTTCTCCTTTTGTGTTTCGCATCTGGCTTTTAGAAAGGACCGCCACCGCCATCAACGGCAGTGCTTCATCTCCATTTTGGTGTCTCGGTGGTCAATCGGCTTCAGGTCGGCTTTCAGAAGATCTTGGAGCGCCTGAAGGCGCACCTGAGAGATGGATGGGACATCAGATTGAGGAGGATTTTGGGACATCCTGAGATGGGATGACACTGGTTGCGGATTCATTTATTGGGAAGAATGGCATGCCCTAGGCCTTAGGATCTTGGCTGATATTGGTGCTTTTTGTACTTTTTTTGTTTTCTTTGTCTCTTGTGATCTTTTGTTTAGTTTCGTGATTTTTGAATTATTTATTGGATTTGGCTACTACGAGGCACTCAAGCAAAGCAAACCCCATACTAAAGCACAAGCACAAAAGCTCTGGTAAGGCCCTGGAAGTAGGTCGTGGCTAAGCTAGATGGTAGTCTAGATCCCTACCAAGCTAGATGGTAAAGTCGACCTCTGGTACACTAGATCGTGAACTAGATCTCTGGTCTCTTTACCATTTTGATCTTTACATCTCTGTTGACGTAGGTCTCTGGTGAAGTAGATCTCTGCCAAACCTGCCCTGGTAAAGTCCATTTTTGGTGAGGTAGGTCGCTGCTGCATGGTAGGTCGTAGACCTCTGAAAAACTAGATGATCCAGCTGGTTGGTGCACTAGATCTCCAGCTGGATCGTTGGTAAACGACATGACTCATGACCATCCAGCCATGCCTCATTAAAGAGATCTCTGGCGAGCTGGATCTCTGAACAACTAGATCTCTGGTGAGGTAGACGGTAGATGTCTATGCATTTATATATGGCAAAGTATATCTGTCCGGTAAACTAAATTCTTTCACTGGGGCTCTGGTTTTCTTTTGGTGAAGTAGAGCTCTACTAGACTAGATCAAATGGTAAGTTTGATCGTAAATAATTAACTCCGGTAAAATGGGCCCCTTCTCGGTAGACGACCCTTGTCACTTAGATTGAAAACAACTAGAACTGCGTTAAACTCGACCTCTGGTAGCCTGGGTGTTTAAGCTGGATCTCTGGTAAACTAACACACTAAATGGTAAGCTGGATCTCTATGATCTCCCATATGACCCACGCAACAAAAGGGTTGGCCTTTGACCAGTTTCAGGTGTTTCCTTTCGGTACCTAAATCAACACCTGAAACAGGTGGTTTTGACCTTGATTTCGGTACCGAAACGCACGGAGTCAGCTTTTGGGTGATACATTCGCTATTAGGATGTTCAAATCTCTATCATGTTCTTTCGGAAAAGATCCGCAGGAACTGGGCAGTGTTTTGGTGGTTCTAGGTGCCATCTCATTGGTCTCCCACCCATCCACCCGTCTTTTCAGCTGGCTCGTGAGGTCTTTGATGCTCAGGCCAAGGAGCGCTACACCAAGAACAAAGCCTACTTGTGGCTTGGCGAGTATGGGAGGAAGCGAAGCAAACCCAGGAGGTTCCCTCCACTCAAGAGGGGCAGTTGTCTTTGCAAAACGACCGAACAACACATTTTCAACGACATCACAACGACATCACCTTGGCTCATCAACGACAGATTTGGGGCAGCGACTGAACGTGTTGCGTTGGGTCCAAAGTGAGGAACGGTCCGTGTTTTGCAGTGCGGAGGTTTGCCCGGCCCAAGAGGTTCTTCCAGAGATGTACCAAACCAAATCCACCGAGCGAACCAGATGGAGTCAATGAAACCCACTGGAATTCTGTTCAAACTAGCCACCAACAGGGAGTGTGGGTTTTCAAGGATTGCTCCACTTGCCCTTTGTTGCGCTTCCAATCGGTGCGTATACCACATCCGATTCGACCTCCTCTCAGCGGGAAGCCGATTCGATCTCCAAGGCCCATCGATTACTTTGAGCCCTCGAAGCTTCTGGAGGCGACCGTCCAACCGATCGGTCCAGACACGATCGGTCCATCGTGCTCGCTGAAACGAAGGGAGTGAAGGTCTGAGTTTGGAGGGTTGGAATGTGGGGCCGGGGGGACAAGTTCCACCAAGAAAACAGGTCTTCTTTGGGAGATTCGAGTGTTAAGCTGCTGATGTTCGTTGATGACCTCTGACATATGTTGTCTCACACGAGGCGACCAATCGACCAGCGAAATCGGGGGGAGGGACAGAGACCGTTTCGCCGGGCACGCGAAGGGGCCGGTGGTAAGGGCAAGATGACGATCCCCCACTTCAGCAACGGAAATTGGTTGGTGTTGGCGTTCAACAACCATATTTCCCTTTATCGTCATAGTGAAGACCCTGGCATCCTCGAGACAGTCTCAACAATTCTCGATTCTTGATGCTCAAAGATGCTCAAAGTAAATCTCGTAGGAGTACGTCCCAACAGGAAGGTACCTATCTCTTTCTGCCACGGTACCGACCAAGGACTTCCAAGGATTTCCAAGGCACCAGGTTTTGCCGCAGAGGCTCGAGAGATGTCGAAAGCAGAGTTTCGAAAGCCGACGCCAGGTAGACACCTGTACATGTAGGTCCGTTTCCGGACCCCTGCTTGAGAGCCAGAGGATGAACGGAAACAGGTCCAAAGAAGGTATCGTAACATCGTATGATGAAACAGATTGTTTGAAGTGCGGTTAGGTGGAAAACCACAGAAAGCCGTCTTTTTCCTTGACCTTCAGGGCGTCCCTTTCTGTTTTTCGGTTTGACCACGGTTCCAAGCTGGTTCCTCTGAAACCGATGTCCGGAGCTGTGAGCCGCACGATTTCGCGCAATTTCTTCCTGGGGGTCAAAGTAGCGGTCTTGACCTGACAGATCCCTTTCATTCCCTTTCTATTCTAGGAATCCCTTTCGGAATTTCTCATCACAGACCTCAACAAAGTCCCAGAGCACACGTCACGAAGCTCGTTGCAAGAGAGGGGCAATTGACACGCAAGCACCCATTCATTCCCACGCAAGTAATAAGCTCGAAGTGCATCCTGTGCGCAAAGTTGCAGCAATCTCAAACTCTGAGAGGCCCTTCGCAGGAGAGGGAATCGGCTAAATCGGAGAGCAGCACCAATGTCAGGCTGAAAGATCTCTGAGCTTCGCCGTGTCTGAGCGTTGGAGCTGCAGGCGGTTTGAGTCCGAATGTCAACATATGCTCGCGGG